GAGCGGCAGGAAGAAATCCTGCTACCAAGCTATCCCCTGCTGCTCCCACAGACTGTGAGTGCCTTAAGAGCTGTGCTTTACTTATCTTTTCTTTCCCATTGCTTAATCTATAGTGATCTTCGATTTTAGTCTTATTTTTGATGTTACCTCGAGAAGAGTCTTTTAAGCACCCAGTTAGCTTGACTTATCTCTGCATTATGCTATATGGATCTGGTCAAGTTCCCAAACTTTAGCTGTGACGTTCATTTGAATCAACAGTGGAGGTGACCTATCCAATGCCAAGAGAGCCAATCAAGCCTGTCCACAGTTAGACAGCAACACTCAGTGCAAATGGATGGAACTTCCATTACATTTTTAAACATCTCCTGAGGAAGAGGAGATTCCCTCAGTCAGCCATTCCAACAGTTAACTCCTCTTATTTGCCTTATGTTTAGGCAGCCAAATGTTGGAAAGCAATTTCTCCACACATCCCCATAGAGTTGTACAGTTTCTGTTCACAGTGGGAGAAATATGCTTTGCATTACTCTTTCTCTGCCAAATTACAGTAGAGCCCCACTGGAGTGACACAGCTTGTTATTATAGAGATCTGGAGAGACGATGCCCTGGGTAGCTGCATAGACCAGGCTGCCAGGCTGATGAGCAAACCAATCGCAGGGATCTTGTTGCTGTCTGAGCTCCTCAAAACCTCAGACTGTCCTTAAGTGACCTCCCCTGCTCTGGGCTACCATGTTCTGCAGTCATCTGTAGGCAGACACTATTCCTATGACTTTCGGTCATATTTTTACTTCCACATAATCATTTCATAGAAGAACTGCCTAAGAGAAGGTGGCAATCTTACAGAAAGACATGCGTCAACACATTCACAAGGATTACCTGTGGGCCTGAGCTTCAGTTCTGTTAGTCCCGACTTCTTTCCTCCTAGCTTCTTCCAGGTACCGTCTGTAGACAAGAGCCATTCCTCCACGGCACAGTAATATCTGCCCTGATCACTGTCTTCCACACTTAGAATATGTAGCTGAAACAAGTCTTGGGAAACTTTCTCCATATGAAATTTTTGTTTTTTCTGTGGGGTATGAAATTCATTCCCATATTTTACAACACTGGTTTGGTCCATCTCCAGGATCCTGAGCCACGATGCATTAGAAGAAATGGGAGAAAAATACCAAATAATTGCTAACTGAAGGTTTCCAATGGTCCGAGATAAGATATTACATTCTATATTGGTGTTGGAGATGATGGAGATCTCCTGGGATTGATTCCTTGAGTTCACTTTTAGCTTGCTCTCTGAATGAAAAGAATGAAAACAGTTACTTTGCTAGAAAACAGAATTTTCAGGTAGAAGGGATATTAGAAGTCAACCCTGTGACCGTCATATGTGACGATTCCCTCGCAGCGGCCACATGACCTGCTCATTCAGCCTTTGAACAATTCTCCAATGATGCAGATCATTCCATCTTGGAACAACTATGCCACTGGAGAATTCTGTCTGATATCAACTTGAGTTTTCTCTCTTCATAACTTGCACCCACTGGTCCTAATTCTACCCTTATTGGGTGGGAAAGGGAAGTATCATAAAGCTCATTCTCTTTCCAACATGATGATGCTTTAGTGCTTCAGCACAGACACCTCTTCTACAGCATTTTGTGTTTCAAATTAAAGAAAGTGGCATTCCTAATGCTCTGTGTGCTTGCTATCCAGAGTATTTCTGAATCCACAATTTGTCAAAGTCT